CAGTCCCAGCTGTTGGGCAATAGTCCGTTGGCTGCATTAAGCACTTCCCACTGGCAAGCAGAGTTTGAATCGCCCATAGCGACCTGAGCTTTCAAACACACACAACAAACGGAGTGTGTTGATGGACTATTAGGTCACTGCTGAGAAGAGTCTCGGCGTACACAGCCGAGGGAAGGCTAACGCCTGCCTTCAGTGCATCTCACCGAAATGGCAGCCCAGCCGGTGGTCCGGCTGGCATTGAAGAGAAGAAAAATATAGATCATCTACTTAGGTGGCATTTAATAAGCCGAATGCTTTTAAATAATTGACGGAGAAGGACTACCGCCACCCCAGGCTCACCAAATGTCAGCCGCCGGCCGTTGGCCTTTTCCCCCCACACCTTATTGACTGTGTTACTCTCTCCAAATGCGTCTTTCATAATAGCTTAAAGGGCGAACGGGAGAAAGGTTGTTGTGTTGCTAGAGTAAATCAGTGCTGCAAACAGAGAGAGATCAGGAAATAAAAGTGTGCAGCAATCTGTTGTTCTGCGTTTACAATGCCCCTCAGGTGGGATTTGGTGGGGGGGAATGCTGTTTAGCAAACTGCTGTATCCTGATCTAGCTTTGGTGAAAATGATTTTCCATGGGAGGGGGAAGGCAAAAGGACAAGATGGACAAACCAACCAGCACACTTTTTAATGAACAAAACACCCACCCACCCATACACACGAAGGCAAAAGGACAAGATGGACAAACCAAGCAGCACACTTTTTACACACACACACACACACACACACACACACACAATTCTGGTGCCATGCATGAAAGTTGCAGATCAAGCATTGGCAAGGTCTGTCACCGTACAAGCCTGGGCTGGTTTGATTTGGGAAGCTAAGTAAGGTGAAGCCTGGTTTGTATTTGGATAGGGGGCCCTTAAAGAATGCCCGGGATCTCCAGATAAGGCTAGGAACGAGTTTTCTCTGAAACGGTGGAGAACTCTGCTGCCCACTCAGAGTTGACAATACCGGTGAAGCCTGGTTTGTATTTGGATAGGGGACCCTTAAAGAATGCCCAGGATCTCCAGATAAGGCTAGGAACGAGTCTTCTCTGAAACGCTGGAGAACTCTGCGGCCACTCACAGTTGACAATACAGTGGTACCTCGACTTGTGAACGTCCCTACTTGCGAATGATTCGAGTTATGAAAGGCTCAGTTCACAAAAAGTTGCTTCAACCTACAAATGGAGCCTTGACTTACGAACCGAAAAAAGGGGGAAAAAACCTTTCCTCTCCTACTTTTGACCTAAGTTCACCTTAGGTCAAAAGAAAAAATCATCCCCTAGTGGTATTTCTAAGGGAACTAATGTGTCTAGCTCGACATACGAATGAAAAACAGCAGATACGGATTAAATGGTTTTCAATGCATTCCAATGGGAAAGTTTGACTCGACTTGCAAACTTTTTGACGTACGAACTTAATTCCAATACGGATTAAGTTTGCAAGTCGAGGTACCACTGTACTGGGCTGGATGGAGTTGATGGACTTGGTAAAAGGCAGTTTCCTGCATTCCCAACGTACGGATAACAAGCTGTGTTTCCTCCTCATTATGGTTCTGTCTTCTTTCCTCTCTCGACCTTACTCATGCATGTCTCACTGGTCTTTCTCGGACGATTGGCCTCTCTCAGGTCTACCGTCATAGGCAAAATGGTGGAACAGAACATTTCCGTTGAGGAAACGCAGTCCATCCCGGTTACCCTCATGAGCCTCTTGGGATTTACCAACCCTTATCTCTTGCCTAGCCATGAACGACAACACCTTTAATCAGGGAGTGAACCTTATAAATGACGCTCCAAGCTTCCTGAAGGAAGGGCAGGATAGGCATAAAATAAGAACAAATTTAACCATGAGGTAGAGTGAGGCAGCTGCCTCAAGCGGCGTCTTTAGGGCCTCCTGAAAGAGCAGTAGGCTGTCATTTAATTGGCCATTATTATATAATCATTTAATCGGCAGTTATTACATCGTTACTGCTGGGGGTGGGAAGACGTGTTTGCGAGATTCTTTATTTCTCTTTCCTGTGCCAAAACAATTCACGCACTTTGCTTCTTGTGCCCAAATCTTGGGTTTCTCTGGTTGTTGTTGCTTCTCCTTTACTGTTGCGTATACACAACGAAACCCCTAGACGCTCTCCCCTAGGACCGATTCTGGAAGAGGGACTAAACTCCGGCTGAACTCTGTTGGAGAAGAACCTAGGCCATTAAGCTTGTATGCTAAGAGAAGTTAAACTGTGTGTGTAACCTTTCTTTCAGAATAGCTAAGGTCTCCCTCAGTGAGCTGGTGTCCACTAATCCCGTCAATATGTTTTATCAACAGGGCTGCCTCCCCCCCCCTCCAAATATCTGTAGCTCTTTTTGTTTAAACAGCTTCTATTGAAAGCAGTCACACACATCAAACGGTCCGTTTAGTGACTGTCAACTAAAATCGCTTTCAGATTTTTGTATCTGTTCTGTTTAGCCTCGAGAAGGAGGAAGCGGTGAAGCAGGGGAGGGGAGGGGAAGCAAAGAGAGCATATTCTCAGGTGAGAATTTAATCAGGTTTGGGGATTTTTTTTTTCCTTTTCTTTTCTGGTCAATGTTCCTCCATCTACACGTTTCTCTTTGTCTTGCCCATCACCGTTTATATAAGGGTAAACAGAGATACAGCCTTTGTAGTTGCAGGTGAAGATTGAAATGGGATTTGAGGCTGTGTGTGTGTGGGGGGGAAACCCCACAACGGCTGTAACCAAGATAAATATACAGCTCCAATTGAGCAGGACTGAAGCTCACTTGGAATGAACCAGGAAAGAGAAGGAAGACAACAGAGTTGAAAAGACAGTCTTTCAAAGAAAGAAGAATTGGGGCTTGAAGATTAACTAGCAGAGTTTATAAAGTTTTTATTGTTCTTCCCTGACTTGCGGGTAGTGGCAATGCAAGGTGCTGGCTCGGATTATTTTTTTTTGAAGAGAGTTTTGTGTCATGAGCAGGAACTCGACGTTTTGGTGGAGTTGACCTGAGGGAACATACCAAGGAAGAACAAAGGATGATTGCTTCTGACTTCGTTGGTCCTGTGACTTTCCTGATGAAAAGGATGAGAACAGGCTAAGACAGAATCCTGTTGGAAAAAAAATATGTATGTGTGAAAGGGATAATCCCCCAGGCTTTTCCTTCCCCAGCCCCACCTTGGCATGATCGCCCAACTCGTTGCGTGACACATTTTGATAGTAGTCATGTGGCGGACACTCTGGCAAAGAAGGGAACCACACACACAGTTCTTCCACTCTTTTATCTAAGAGAATTCAGACCTAAGAACAGAGCTGCCTATTCTTCCATCAACCTACTGCATATCTCACACCTGAGCTACATGATGGACAGACTCATCCATTGTCTGAGATTGGCCAGGTGAAAACATAGTTAGGATTGGGAGAGGCATGACAGATTGGGAGTGATGTATACGGTAGCATTTGTCAGGAGCTGAGGAGCCATAGCTCAGTGGTAGAGTGTATGCCTGGTATGCAGGAGGTTGCAGGTTCAATTCCTGGCATCTCTAGCTAAAGGAAAGATTCCTGCCTTGAACCCTCATGAGTTGCTGCCACTAGGTTAGATGGATCAATGGTCCAACTAGCAATAAAGCGGCATTTCCTGCATATGCACTGCTAATTTCTGGCTGCCAACGCTAATAGCTCTTGATGGGCCTGTCCCTGGCCATCAGTAGAATCAAAGAGGTTGAAGTCAGGCATGTTCTGATCTCTGCTGTTGGACAAGGGACCAACAGTGACTGCGAGAAAATGCCCTCTGCCCTTCTGGGAAGAATAGTATGTCTAGAAGGAGACCAGGTTGGTCTCCACCTCTTGGTCAACAAAGGCGTCTCAGCTGCAAAGCTGAAGGCTGCCACTCGTGAGAAAACTAGGAGGTATATAGTTTGCGTGTACATGTCTGAACATGTAATTGTGACTGATTAAAAGCTATTTTAAGGACTTAAAGGGGGGGGGAGTTATAAATCCTATAAATCAATGGCTCCCAACCTTGGGTCCCCAGATGTTCTTGGACTACATCTCCCAGAAATCATTGGCAGCATGGCTAGTGGTGAAGGCTTCTGGGAGTTTTAGTCCAAGAACATTTGGGGACAGGCATATGATTCCCAAAGTTGGGAATCACTGATATAAAGGAATACTATTTGTTCAATTCCTCTTCAGTCATCCATGCTGTAGCCTAGCTGTTCTATATCAGCTTTATTTATTTAGGTTATTTGTTGATCGTGGTGTCGAATGTTCTGATGTTTTGAGAGGTGAGGTGGAAAAACCACCCTCTTTGAAAGCTCTGAACTGAGCTTGAGGGATGAAATTTTGGCTTGGGCGTGGTTATTTTCCAGTAGCTTAAAAAATATTTGAATCTGTATTATTTATTCCATTTTATTTAAAATGTTACTACCCCGCCTTTCTCTTAAAAAGGACTCCAGACAGCTTACATCCATAAAAGACAATATTTCAAGCTAACCACAGGAAATATACAAATACTAAAAAAGATTAAAGAAATACCACACTAAAAAAAAGGTAAGCAAAAGGAACACTAAAAGCAGTAAGGCACAACCATCCATTTAAAACTCCACACAGTCAGCCAGTCATTGAGGGGAATCTTGCCTGAAGAGAAACACCTTTGTCTGCCTGTGGAAGAATAGCAAAGATGGGGCCAATCTGGCCTCCAGTGGGAGGGAGTTCCAGAGTCTGGGAGCAGCGACAGAGAAGGCCCTCTCCCATATTTCCACCAAACATACCTGTGAAGGTGGCTGGACTGAGAGAAAGGCATGATGATGATCTTGGCGCCTTGGTAGGCTCATAAAGGGAGATACCTATAAAACATGTATCTTTAATGTTTCATGACTCATCACAGATTTACCATTGTTGACTGCCTTGTGAACATATGCCTGCACATTGCAAATCACCTCTCCATTTGCCATTTAAGAAATACTTGGTTTTTTTAATGGTTTTGCAGGTTGAGTTTGAGTGGCTACGGCAGTTTTGGTTCCAGGGTAAACGTTACCAAAAATGCACAGACTGGTGGGATCAACCAATGGCAGTTCTGGAAGAACACTGGAGAAAAATGGAGCTCATGGTATGTACTTAGCACTGTTGGCTTAGCGCTGGATCATTCCAATTTTCTTTCAAAAGTAATGCAGGGAGCAAATTTGCCTTATTGGTGTAAGGAGTAACCTTTTCTAGTTACTTTCAAAAGTTAATTTTTAGTGATCATTTTAAGTCTTTCCGATAGTATTCTCAAAAGCTTTCACAGCCAGGATCTGATGGTTGTTGTGGGTTTGTCAGGCTATTTGGCAATTTTCTTAAAGTTGTTC